AGAGCGTTGCGGGGGCATTGTTAATCCGCGTTCGTATCTTCAAGTTACACGCGCCCCCTGGGTAACGCAAAGTGAGTAACGTCTGTGCAGTGCTTGCCTTAAGGCAACCAAGCTGTCTAAGTGTTTGCCAGTTGCATTGAAAAAAAAAATGTTTGTTTCATTTAAAAAAAACTGTATTAACCATTGGTTAGTACCAGGGGTTACCCCGTACCTCCATGTCAATAATTATTAATAAAACAAAAATAATTTATTAAAACCAAAAGTTAAGTTTTTTAAAAAGAAGAAAATAAAACGAGCCCATGCTCTGTGAAATTTAAAAAAGAATAAAAGGGTTAGTAAATATACATTATTTTAAATAATAGTTAACAATAATATTTAAATGCAAAATAAATGTGGCAATAAAAAGAGTTTAAAAATAACAGCTACGAAACCCAAAAAATTTATCTGGATGGCTGAAGAGATTTTTTATTTTATTTCCAATGGCAAGGCAAGTACAAGAAGAATGAAAATAGTAATAACAACAAAGATAACAAGAGAACAAAAATACAAAAGAATAAACGTCCAAAAATGCAAAGATGACCGAAATCATTGCCTAAAGAGTTCTCTCGCATGCCAGTAAAGCGCTGTCGCCGGCAAGTACCGCGCATCGTTGGAGGTGGTCTCTGTTCATTGGGTCTGTTGAACCACATAGGGGGCAGCCAGGGTTCGAAAAGATTCTAATGCGATGGAGATGTTCTGCTAGACAGACGTGGCCAGTCAGAAGTCGGAACTGGGCGACAGCATGCCGTCGCGGATTGCTGGGTATTGCTAAAAGATCTTCAGCTCTCCAACGCTTTGACTTAATCCCATCTTGAATTTGTAATTTGTGGTTTTTAGTCATTAAGAAGAAGAGAAAGAGTAAAGGAAATATAAATATCTTTCTCTAGTGCGAATCTTGATGCGGTGTTCTTTATATGATGTTCTTAATACGTTGTCTTGAACGTTTTCTTTTACGATGACTGCCGGCCCTCCCCGCTTTAAATTAATAATTCTAGAACATATGTTCATGAAACTTTGTACTTAAATTATAAAAAAAAAAACCTCAGATATATATTTAGAAATAGATAGCTAACTAAATATGTGTATTTTATTAAAAAAATTAATTAACCATTGGGTTTATTTAAATATTTCTCTACAATATTTCTTTCTAACTACTATCCGTGTGATTCCGTTACCTCTAGAGATGTAAGATTTACGAATATCTTATTCTATCCAGGGCCCGGATTTAGATGAAAAGAGGCCATAGGATATTCCTCTTATGAGGTCCTTTCACCTCCCATTTTTAAGTTTGTAAATTACTTATTATGTTTGTTTTATTATTCATATGTGTAGAATTTCCTCTTATTTTCGATTCACTATTTTAGTGCTTACTGCTTTTAGAATTCTAATTTTGCTAACAATTTGAATGTAGGCCCTTCCTGATCTTGAGGCCCTAGGTTGAAGCCTAGTTAGCCTATAGGAAAATCCGCCCCCCCCACCTTCTCTTCCCGTATCGAAGCCTCTACCCCAATGAATAAAAATAGAAATGTAGATGGAACATCTAAAAAAATAAAAAATTTCAATTTCAATCATCTGAATTTCTAATCCTAATTAGAAATGGGAATTGGAACATCCACTGACCTCATGCATACTAAGAACAGCCGATGAGTGCCTTCTGGGAAGGTTTTTAAGGGCCTTCGTCCCCCCCTTTCCCGCGTGGCTAAAGAACCAGGAAATCTCTCACCAGGGCAGGTTGACTTTCGATATGAGATGCTTTACTACACTCATACTAAGAATTCCATCGAATCGCCTCCTTTCTGAAAGTTGTAGGCTTAAATGAATCCACCCGCGGACTCGAACCCCAGCCCTTCGACACGTTACCTGCCCAAATTTCCACTGGGCCACGAGTTGGGCACTTGCGACTCACTGGGCCATTGTAGTAATATTTTTCAAACCCTGTTAATGAAAATAATTCTTTAAAACTATTTTCTAATTTATTTTTCCAACTAGGGTGCAATTAAGTGATGATTTACTGAAACTTATATTAATTTAATTTACTTAAACTTATATTAATTTAATTTACTTAAACTTATATTACTTTAATTTGCTTAAACTTTATTTACTTATTTTTAATGAGATCATTGTTTTTCTAAGTTCCAATCGCATCGGATGGCATCTTCTGGACATAAAAAAAAAATTAATTAAATTAAATAGTTATCCATTATTTAAAATACTTTTTTAAACGGAATCTGGATCCTATTCACGTTTTTAATCTGAACTTCTTAAAAAAAAATTAAAAATCATTAATTATCTATTTTTAAAGTATAATGTACCACATAATAAGTACATTATGTGGTACATAAGTTATTAATTTCTGTCCATTTTCTAATAATTAAATGTTTATTCAAACCCCTGCAGCTGGTCTATGTATGATTCACAGCCCTACGAATTTGAAAACTATCTGCAAAAGAATTTTTGTATGTATATTTGATATCCATCGCTCAGCGAAAACAGCTAGTTTTAACAGGCAAAAAAGGGTGCATTGTTACGATAACATTTTAAAAATTCGGTTGCTATTTTTTCGGTTTTAATTACTAACATAAAAAACATCTGCGTGTACCACGAGAAAGATCTTCAGAAAATGTAAACATTTTCCCGTATACTTTGTTTAGAAATGTGTCGATCAGCACTAATGAAGGAGTCGTTGCATCGTAGCCTGAGAAAAAAAGGGTGCAGCTCTTAGTTGGGATACTTTGAATCTGTTTCGTCTATGATTATAAATTGCCTAAGCATTTTTTTTCTGCTATGTCTCTTTAATCTTTCAACAAAATCGGAACTTCTTTAAATAAAATAGTCAATTAAATGATATAAAAATATAATGACTGCATGATGAAGCGTTAAAAAAAATAATACCAAATCTGTGTAAGAAGTTAGCTCCGTGTACTTCTCTAAACTATTTCAACTGATAAACAAAACTTTTTTTCATGATGAATCAGATTGATTGACATATTCATTTTTGACGCCGAAGCTTAGCACTAAAAAAGAATTCTTTTCATCCCTGGCCATGGTCTATTTAAGAGTGGGTAGAGCTTTCCGAAGGCAATACGAAATTTAGTTTTGGTGTGCAGAAAATGTTGTTTCCAATTTAAATGTTGCTCCAGAATAACTTCTAAATGTTTAGTTTGAGTCTTGCAAGGGATAATATTATTGTTGATAATAATAATCACTGGTTTTTTACGTTTATTTCCAAAGGAGAAGAAAAACAGCTTCAGTTTTATCTACATTTAAAGAAATTTTCCATTTATTGAACCAGTTGAGAACTTTAAGGTGATTAGTAAGGGTGATACGAATTTAGTGTTTTTATTTTTGCAAAGGGTTGCAGTATCATCAGCGTAGACAGCAGCTAAGAATATAGGATTAGTTGGGATATCAGCAATAAAAATAGAGAAAAGAAGAGGTGAAAATTTCCACCTTGTGGAGTACCAGCCATAAGTCAGATTCTGACAAACATCGTTATATATATATATATATATATATATATATAAACTGCCGTAATTATGCATATCACAAAAAATAAAAGGGATTTTAGAGCACTGTTATTTTTCATAGAAATTTCATCACGTGTAGGGATAATTTTTATTCATATAATCTGATGATGACAGTGAAGAATTTTTCTAAAAAAATTTCAGTTCATTTTTAACTTAAAAAATGATATTAAAAAATAATTACACAAAAAAAAAATCATTTTTGCTCTTCTCTAGAGACGAATTTCATATATTTTTTTTTTTAAACTGAGCAAAATAAAAATGTAATAAAAATAAAATTAAATTTACATAATAATACAGGAAAACTGAAGTTTTAAAATTTATTTTTTTTAACACTTTATGAACCTTTATTAAAAAAAAAAATATTTTTCTTCTTGGTAATTAATTGTTTTTACTAAACAAAACGTGACTTTTGCGAACTTAAGTAAAATCATATATTTATTTGGAGTTATTAATGTTTTGTTTTGGGACTCTTCCTTTTTTTTTTGAAACTTTTTCACATAAAATAACTATTGAATATTAATAAATATTATTTTATTTTAAATTTATGCTGTTCATTGTCTGTTTACTTACTCTGTTAAAAAGATTCAATAAAAATCGGAATTTACATATGTAAATTTTTCTTTAAAAATTTTCAGTTCATTTTTAACCTTGAAAAAATAATATATATATATAATATTACAAAAAAAAAAAAATTTTACTAAATAAAACTTAATGCAAGATCACATATATTTCGAGTTTATGTTTTGTTTTTGGATTCTTCTTTTTTTTTTTTTTTTTTAATTTAATTGCATAAAATAACTACTGAATATTAAAATGTGTTATTTTATTTTAAATTTATGCTATTCATTGTCTGTTTATTTACTCTGTTAAAAAAATCATTAAAAATCGAAATTTACATGTGTGAAACATAAAATAGTTAATCATATTTTATAAATTTATTTAATTTTCTAAAAATAGTGATTAAATTTATTGAAATTTTGCTACACCGGCCAGTTTTTACTATGTGTACTCAAAAAAAAAAATTTTTTTTTTTTTAATTATTCATAGTTGTACTTGATTAATATGCAGATAATTTAAAGTGCCCATTCCTGACAATTCTAAAATATCGTGAGGAGTAGTTTTAAATCTTCTGTTGTTTTGTTGTTGTTGTTTCTTATCCCACTTGACTGGCCAAGCCCACGAGCCCATACGTACTCATGATTGAAGGGGAAGGAAGCAGCTTCTGCTGTGATGGAGCACCCGTAGGTAGAAGTCTGACTTTGGCTCCGTGACGCTCTTACAGTCCTAGGAGACCGGGACCTACGGCTTAAAGTGGATTCGAACCACTACAAACATCCATAGCACCACCGGGATTCGAACCCGAAACCTGTGGCACCGAGCGCCAGAGCGCCAGACACTCGGCCATTCAGGTCCCAAATTTGTGAATGCCAACGGCACGCAGTCACCCACCCAAGTACTGACCGCGCCCAATGATGCTTGACTTCGGTGATCTAACGAGAACCATGGATGTTTGCCATGGTTCTCGTGCCATGGTTCTCGTGCCATGGATGTTTGTAGTGGTTTGCATTCCAGTTTAAACCGTAGGTCCCTGTCTAATGTAAGACTGTAAAGCATTGGCCATTGGGCTGTTCTTGTCTAGAAATATGCCACTTGGCAGACAATATTGGCCCAACATGGAGCTAATGCGCCAGTAAAAGAAGATTAATTGCTCATATTACAATTCAAAAAACATCAACAGAAATTACTTCATTTTTAAATTATTTTATACATTATTAATCATTTGAGTTATAATTGTTTTCAAAGTTTTTCTTTTTTTTTTTTTCTGTTTTAGAATTTTTAACTTTCATATTAATTAAATATTAATTTCAATCAATCATAACAGTTGAAAATGATTAAATTCTTACGTGCTTTTCAAGTATTTGAAGGGTTTTTTATCCTTGAGTTTGGGCACCAAATGAATAAATGATGATGTTCCATGCTTGTTTCCAAAATATTTTAAAGTTGTAATTACTTTCTTGGGGCATGATGGCCAAGTGACTAGCCCTCTGGCACTCGCTGCCATAGGTTTCGGTCTCGAGTCCCGGCGGTGCCATGGATGTTTTTAGTGGTTCGAAATCCACTTCAAACATTAGGTCCCGGTCTAATATGACTGTAGAGCATTAGGCTTCGGGCTGACAACTCCATGCCTTAAAATTAAATCCGCTCCTGTCTAGAAATTGTCGAAAATTACGACTGCGTATTGGCTGAAAATAATGATAATTTGAAAGACTTTCTGCATTATTAATTTTGTGCTTTTTTTTTTCTTGCAGTTGTGCATATTTTATATATATATATATCATGATGTATTCCTCTGACAATGAAACTTCGGTCACCTCTGCCTCAGAGTAAGTAATATGCTTTAAGACATTTTAACAAATTTTTCTTTATGCAGTGTGTTTCTTTATAAAAGTATCTTGTAATGACAAGTCGTCTTCAATAAGTAGCATTGGATTTTTTCTTTTTAATTTGGCATGTTGACTGGCTGAGCTAATGTATCCATCTGTATTTCAGAGACATCGGCTCTGAGGACACCCCAGAGGAATCGAGCAAGTTCGAACTGGATTTCAGGTCGTCATCCACCAGTTCAGCTGCAGCCAGTTCATCTGGAGCCAGCTCTCCCAGGCGCTCACCCCGGCTGGAGAAAAAAAGGAGCCGGATAATGGAAGTGAGAACTGGTTCTTTTTTTTTTTTTTTTTTTTTTTTTTTCATTCAATTCCTACTAGTGAAATGAGAACTTCTGATTTTTATCCCCCTTTCATATTCCTTCTCATGTTACGTCATCACACTAGCACAGGGGTCGGCAACCTTTGGAGTCGGAAGAGTCAAAAATTACAATTTACAACAAAATTTCAAAGTTTTTAAAGATCCACAAAATTTTTTTCTTGGCAACAATAAATATTTTTTTTTTTGTTCTAATGCAGCTAGCAAACACTTAGACAGCTTGGTCTTGGATGCCTTAAGGCAAGCGCTGCACAGACGCTACTCACTTTGCTTTACCCAGGGGGCGCGTGTAACTTGAAGATAAGCCACGGACGCGGAGTAACAATGCACCCGCAACGCTGTACGATCTTATTAGGACCGGGACCTACGGTTTAAAGTGGATTCAGAACCACTACAAACATCCATGGTACCGCCGGGACTCGAACTCGAAACCTGTGGTACCGAGCGCCAGAGCGCTAGACACTCGGCCATTGAGGCCCAACAATAAATAGTACTCGCATAAATAAAGTTTTTTGATAAAAAAAAAAAAAAAAAAAAAACATAATCTATTTATTCATAAGAAAAAATATCTATTTATTCATTTATTAGTAGTGTTTTTCACAACAAATTAGATAATATATATATATGGCATTATTAGATAATTACTTATTATTTACGTAAAAAATAAAAACCATTAAATATTTACTTACTAACTTGTACTTCGTTAACAAACAATTGAGCAAACAAATTCAATGGGAGCGATGGCTTTGCATGGTTGTTTAAGTAGAAAATGTAAACTTTACCAGACAATATAACTTGTATTTAAAATTAAAAAAAAACTATAACATACATTTGAGCAAACAAATTTAATGGGAGCGTTGGCTTTGCCATGGTTTTAGAAAGTTTGGATAAATTTGGCTCATAACTTGTTGTTTTAAGTTTCAAACGCGACTCTAAATTTTCATTTGTTAGTTGACTTCTTACTTTACTTTTAATTATATTCATGCAAGAGAACTCTTGCTCGCACGAATATGTCGATCCGAAAATAGTCAGCACTCCAAATGCCAACTTCTTCACCTCACTGTAGCAATCTGGAAGACTGTGCCATGCGTCGAATATAAGTGCCTTAACTCGCAGCATTTCTTTTAAAGCTGTCCACTTTTGTTGCGTTACGTACATACATGGCTAAACGATTTTTAAATTTTTTTTTGATAAAATAAATAATATTTGCGTATGGAGCTAAAGAGCCACAGCTTCACATCCAAAGAGCCGCATGTGGCTCACGAGCCGCAGGTTGCTGACGCCTGCACTAGCAACATCATCATACTCGCAACAAACGTTATTACTTGGCCACGAATCGGACTTTTAATACATAATGAAAATTCGCTTATTGACTTGTTAAACTTGCCTACTTAAGAAAAAAAATAGCGGCTCGGTGGCCTTTGGTATCTTATGCTTCAGGTTCGCATCCTGGTGGTGGCATGGGTATTTGTGAGTGGTTCGGAATCCACGTTAAACTATAGGTAGCTTGAAGGTATGCTACGGACGCGGAGTAACACTATCAGCACAACGTTCTATCGATCCTATTAAACCGGGACCTACGATTTAAAGTGGATTCTGAAAAATTGCCAACATTTACCTAACCGCGGGATTCGAACCCCGATACCTGTGGCATCGAGCGTCAGAGCGCTAGTCACTAAGCTATCGGGCTTCTTAATTTCTTTATAAAAAATTAATTAATAAATACTGAATGCTCGTAAGTAGCTTATACAGTGTGGGGTAAAACCATATTTCAGTAACTCGAAAGTGCAGTATATTAGCGTAATAACAATTTTAATATCCTTGTTTTGAGAATAATAGTATTCGAAATTCGAGCAAAGCTCAAACGAAACGATGTTTCATGTTCCGTTTTAAAATGTAGAAAAATAGTTTTTTTAGCTATAATTTTAACGGCAAATATAAGTGAAATTTTTTTTTTTTTTTAATTTTTGTTTATTATATTTTATTATAAAGTGTTAAGTCATTTTAGATTTGTAATTTCTGTTACATATTTTAGTTTACATTAGAATTATAATTTAGTGTCAATTAATAATTAATTCCCAGTCTCAACTTTTAGCTGAAACTGGCAAAAGAAAGTTAAAAACATTGTTATAATTTTGTAAACTGGAATACTTTATACATTTTTTTTTCAAGAAATGTTTTTTAAATGCTTTTTTTTCTTTTTCTCAGAAGGAAGGGGTGAGCTTCCGGGCCAAAAGGAGGCGCATCGTCTCCCCGTCGCCCGACATAATGGTCGACCCTGTGGCCAGTTGGCCTCAGTCACCAGTCCCAGGTGAGCCTCGATACGTTACGTGTTAAATCTAGAATACATAGTTTAAATAGTTATTATTAAGTTCCGTTGAATGGAGAAACAGTGCATCAAATCACTGCGCACCCTCGAAACCAAAAGCAAATTGGAAGTGTGTTCGATTGCCCTTGTCACCACCACCAATACGAGTCAGAAATCTCCACACGTTAGACATCTTTTTCAATTCCTTCTATTAGCTCCCTATATATATCTTGTTCAAATTTTCAATCGTTCATAAAACACTTTTCATTCATCCACTCCAGTTCAAATATATTTTTTTTTGAACATCTATTGGATGACACTGGATGTTAATACAGTTTTTTCAAATATTAATTCAGTAATTAAATTTAATTCATTAATTTTAGTTTTTTTCAGATTTAAGTTGCATATATCTACCAATAGATGGCGCCAGGTAAAACTTAAAAAAAATGAATGAAAATTATTTATAAAGGACTTTCTGCAATAGAAAAAAAAAAAAAAAAAAAGTGCGAATTGTCTTTAATTTTTTTTTTTTTTAATATTATTTGTTTTTTAAAAAAAATATGAAGTTAGATGAATAATAAGTTATTGATGCAAATTAAAGATTGTTCAGAATTTTAATTGCTGATTTAATGCAAAGCACCACTTAAAAAGGCACTGTAAATGAAGTCCAGGCTTATTTGATTTCTTTGTGTATGATCATTTAAACAAAGTAAATAGCCAAGTTCAAAATCCTAATAAGTAAATGATTCCTACTAAGTCAATGAAAAAAGCAAAGAATGCATATCGTTATTTAATAAGGCACAGCTATAAATATTCCAAATCTGGTTCCAGGATTTGGTGAGAGCTCCGCGGGAAGGAGCACCCCCTCTCTGCCGCCGTCCACCAGGAGCTGCAGCCCCTCAATGCCGCCCAGCAGAAGTTCCCCAGTCTGTTGGGGTAATCCTTTCAGTTCTTTTTAATACGCTTTTATATTAGTTTCACCTGTATATTTGTTTGTATGTATGTAACTGACTCTTTGGGCTCGATTTCGCCCTACTTTAAGCAATCAGATTTAATTTAAACGTTGCAGACTTATCAAGGACCGACGACACTGAATTATTTGGATGAGGGTATTATCTCATCATGATTAGAATAGCCAGGTTTAGTGATTAAAATACACAGCCTTTGAAAAGTCATCTTGATCGGCGCATCAGTTTCCACTGGAGATCTGTTTCTCCTCATACACACAATTTAAGCTGCAAAGAAAAATTTACAGGCATCTTTAAGATATTCAAACCTACGTGGTGTCCCACGTAGGTTTGAATATGTTTCGTAAGTTTGGACGTCCACGTAGGTCGGCACAACGGATAACGCGATTGATTAAGAGATTCTGGCTCGACATATTCGCATGTAGCCTTTGTTTTACTCACAATTAAATTATTGTAAGAACCAGTCC